AAAAATTAGCTGGACATGGTGGCAGGTGCCTGTAGTCCCAGCTGCCCGGGAAGCTGAGACAGGAGAATCACTTGAACCCCAGAGGCCGAGGTTGCAGTGAGCCAAGATAGCATCACCACACTCCAGCCTGGGCGACCCGAGTGAGGTGTGAGACTCCATCTCAAAAATAAAAAAAGCGTCTGTAATCTCTCTGGGTTTGAGTCCATGGTGTGCTACTTAGTGTGTTGCAATTTGTTGCAATTTGCCGAATCTTTCTGGGCCTCAATAGCTTCTTTCTAGTGAAGCTAATAGCAAATTTTACCTACCAGGGTTGCTGGGAGGATCGTTGAATAAATATGTCAAGAGCTGGGAACTAGAGCTGGGCTGACAGGCATGCAACCTGTGCCGTTCCCTGGGTCCTGAGCTTGGTTGAATGTTCTTTTGTCACCAGCTTGAAATTCTGAATCCTTTTTTGAAGAATGGGTCCCATCATATTCTCTTTGCACTGGGCCCTACAAATTCCGTAGCCAGTCCTGCTTAGAATAGATGCTGGCATAGGGTAAGCCCACAGTAAATGTGGGGCGGTATCATTCTCAAAGGGATGTGATGATCTATGAGCATATCCTTCACAGGTAAAGAATTTACAGTGGTGCTTCTTTAAGCTTTATTATGGTATAATTAATATGCAAACAATGGCTGGATGTGGTGGCTCATGCCTATAATCCCAGCACTCTGGCAGAGTGAGGCAGGAGGATCACTTGAACCTGGGAGGTGGATGTTGTGGTGAGCTGAGATCGCACCATTGTACTCCAGCCTGGGTAACAAGAGTAAAACTCCATCTCTAAAACAAAAAATTACAAAAAAATGCATACATTAAATGTATACATCTTGCTGAGTTTGGAGCTATGCATACACCTGTGACACCATCACCACAACCAAGGTACTGAATGTATCCATCACCACCTCCAGAAATGCCCCTGTGTTCCTGTGTTTGTAGATGTTTTGGTGAGAACACTTATCATGAGATCTAGTTTCATATTTTTATTCACTTATTTATTGAGACAGGGTCTTGCTCTGTCACCCAGGCTGGAGTGCAAGGGTTCAATCATAGCTCACTGCGGCCACAAGCTCCTGAGCTCAAGCGATCCTCTTACCTACAGGTGCATACCACCATGCCTAGCTAATTTTTTATTTTTTTGAGACAAAGTCTCACTCTGTTGCCCAGGCTGGAGTACAGTGGTATAATCCCGGCTCACTGTAACCTCCACCTCCCGTAATCAAGCGATTCTCCTGCCTCAGTCTCCCAAGTAGCTGAGATTACACCCCACTAATTTTTTTTCTTTTTAGCAGAGATGGGGTTTCTCCATGTTGTCCAGGCTGGTCTCGAACTTTTGACCTCAGGTGATCCGCCCACCTCAGCCTCCCAAAGTGCTGGGATTATAGGCATGAGCCACCGCGCCCGGCCTAATTTTTGTGCTTTTTTTAAGAGGCGAGGTTTCGCCATGTTGCCCAGGCTGGCCTCGAACTCCTGTTCTCAAGCCATCCTTCTGCTTCGGCCTCCCCAAATGCTAGGATGACGGGCGTGAGCACCACGCCCAGCCTTAACATGTCTCTAAAGTGACCCACACCGTATTGCTGGCTGCAGGGACAACGTGCCGGCGACCTCTAGGACTTCTTTATCCTGAATAACTGAAACTATCCGTGTTGAAGAGCAATTCCCCATTTCTCTCCCCGCCAACCCCTGATAACCCCCTTCTCCTCTCACAGCAGAACCTTTTAAGGCTTCTTTCCAGGCAAAGTTGCTTTGTCTTAGGACACCCTCAATTTCCTCATCGGTGGACTGGGGATTAAAATGAACCTGCTCCACAGCCTAGTGGGAAAGTGGTATTGTGACCCACGTCACCCCGGACCTGTGGGACGCCTGCCACCCTTTCTGTCTGCCTGAGTCTTGATTTCTGCATCTCTATCCAGGGACGAGGAGGCTGGACCCTCAACAGTGCTGGCTACCTTCTGGGTCCCAGTGAGTGAGGCTGCTCTCAGCTCGCCATCCCTGGCCTGAGCCTGCCTGGTTGCTGCAGGCAGTGAGTTTGTGGCTTGTAAAGACGCTCACCCACATTCACTGAGACCCGTGGGTTTATCTGAAGACCTGTCTCAAGGGTTAGTCTAGGCGGAGTGATGGGTATGTGGACTTGAACCAGAGCCTTGGGCGCAAATCCCAGCTCTGCTTGGTTTGCAACTTTGATCTCTCTTTTTTTTTTTTTTTTTTTT